GAGGGAGGGAGGGAGGGAGGGAGGGCTGGGGTGAGACATACAGATATATACTTAATATAAAATACTTTTTTTACGTGTTAAGATTCGTATATATTTTTTTTACTTTATTATCAGTCTAATCTACGTTTTTATGGCCACCGCAAACTATACGTGCGTTTCTATTACTAGACGTCACATCCCTAGATGCGAACTAACTGTTCGCCAGAGCTTAGTTTTTTCCCCATATTGGGACTATTTTTCATGGCAGTCGTAACGCACTACACATATTTCTACATTGCTGAAACTCGCTGTACGGTGCAAGTGTGACCTCCCGACTCCCACACTTTAAAATTCTGTAATGTCTGTATTTGGTTCTCACGCATTTGTTCTGCACTATACCGCCCGAAGTGGGGTCACGTCCTAACTGAGCAATCTCTGACAACCGGTCCGCAGACAGACTTGTTATTGTAAATAAATGTTTTACGAACCAATTGACACATAATTTAATTTTGAGAGCAGTTAGAAGACGGGCTTCTTCGAGTGGTGTGTGCGCGCGCATGCGTGTGGATATGTATGTGTGCGTGTGTGTGTGCTTGTTTGTGTGTGTGTGTGCTTGTGTGTGTGTGTGTGTGTGTGTGTGTGTGTGTGTGTGTGTGTGTGTGTAATATACCGTGGGAAGAAAACTCGTGTATTATCCAGCATGCTGCTGCAAAGAAGTCTGGTCGTTACGCCACAAATGAAACGATGTGAAAGGTAACTGACACCCAACCTCAAACATACGAACGAACGGATGGGTGGAAGTAGGGAAAGATGCTTGGATGAATTCAAAACTCCCTGAGCAAATGGAGACAAGCACTGGTTGATCGGTTTATGCGTATGCATGGACCAATACTTTTTTGGGTGTGTGTGCGCTAGAGAGTGGAATGTTTGCTTTATTGAAAGGAAAAGTGATGCAAGGGTAGATGGATATATATGCATGGCAAAATATATTGCTAAAGGATTGATAGAAAGCAACGAGTGAGAGGAGTGTAAAATGTGGCTCTCGAGAAATACAATCAGAGATTTTATGCCTTTTGTTGGGTTTATTTTCCTTTTTTTTCCTCCATGGGTTCATTAATGATGCTGGTATTGTTTGGCGTCTCCGGTTGAGCTGAACATGACAGGTATGGCGAAATACGCTTTCTTTATGGTGACGCCATAGGTATTTGATCCTACGCTTTTTATTATGCTAATCATCACGTTGTCATCAGGTGGGTGTAAAGTGGTAATTACGTCCTGTTTGTATTCTTTTATCTGTTGTGGTTTGGGTGATTAGGAGCTGGCCGCTGGCTGGAAGGTCTTACTGCTTTCCCTTTTTGTTTGTTTGTGTCTGTCTGCTTGTCTAGCTGTCTGTCATACTTCTTCTCTCCCCCCCCCCCCCCCAAGTCGATCTGCGTCTCCACACGTACTTCCTGATTAATATTAACACCTATCGCCTACATTCGTACTGCGGACATTGTCTTGACATCAATCTGTGTGTCGTTGACTATCTTTTATCTGACTTTGTAACAGCGGGTGGTTGGAGGGCGCCACTGGTGGGCCGTACTTTAAAATTATTTTTGTCCACTATCCTTCTGTTTTGCTTTTTGTTCTTTTGTTTCTGTGTGTCTGTTTTACATTCTCCCAGCTCTATGTTCTTTTGTTTACTCAAACACTAATTTTGTTAGAATTAAAAATATTTTTTTTGGCCTTGGTTAATTTTAATGACTTGTGGCATCTTTAAAATGCAGAGACTCGTGGCGGGTGCTCTGGTGTGGTTTGCTCCTTATTTCCTATCAAACACCTATCGTCCTTATCTATCCGCCTTCTTTTTTGTGTAACTTACTCTCTTGTAACATCTATTCTTCGGCACGTATATGACCTTATTGTGTTGCAAGTGCCGTAAAACTCTTACTTAAACTAAACTAAACTAGAGACTCGTAACGAAAGAAAGGCTATTGCAGTATGATTGTAGATGCGATACATCCCTTTCGACGCGATTACGTTCCTTTAGAAGATAAGCTTCTTTGACTCTGCCTACCAGGGTGAATCCGGGCAAAGGAGGATACAAGTCTCAGCAGACAGACGGAGACAATCGATTGAAAGGAAATCCCGTCGCAACGCGGGAATCGAACCCACGTCTTCTCACAGCGACGGCAAAGCGACCGACCGCAGCTCCGCAGACGCCGATTAAAACGGGGGGAGGTGGTGGGGAGAAGAAAAACGAAGTCTGTTATACGTCAATGCGTGGTAAACTTCAGCTGGACTTAAATGATTAATTCGTTCAAATTCTATTGCGGGAAAAGCAGAAGCTGTATGATGTACCATGTGGTCGGGTAATTAAAACTATAATTACCATCACTCGCCAGTTGGGTTCATTGGCCCAGATTTTCTCAAACTGTTGAGCTTTTTGCAGCTTTAATAGTTTAATCACATATACTTGTATTCTGGCACTTTGGCTTGTAAAATCATAGATGAGACCTGCAGATATCCAGGAATCCTTGTGAAATAGTAGCAGGGATTGATGTTTTTCAAATTTTATTTAACACGAGGAAAGAGAAACATCATCACGGCAACGGCCATTAGGTGCTGGGACAGAACGTGAAAGAGAAACAAGAAAGAAGAAGCGACCTCCGACCACACGACGGACTAACGTATAACCGCTCTATTCTTATCAGCATTTGTATAACGATCCAACAAAAAGTTCACCAAGGTATTATATGTGTTAAAGTAATCTCGTCAGTTTGATGTCATGTGCAACTCTTAAAACACTGTGACCCTATATGTTGCTGTTATTACTTTTAAACGAGTTGTCTAATTTTAAAAGCACAACATATTTTATCTGTATTACAGTACCTTTGCTTATTGATGTAAAAGAACCAAACGCACGCACTTGCACACTCACACACATACACACTCGAGGAACAGATAGTCAACTCGCTCGCAAAGTTTTTCTATTACCTCTGGTCACTTCAGAAGCCGAAGAATGTAGTCCTCACTCGTGGTACGAAGTCACCGCGGAACAATGATTGAAATGCACACCGGTTAGACAAAAAAAAGAAAGTGCTGGTGTAAAGGAGGCGATAAGAATCATCAGCGGTCAATCGCTCGATGTCGCCTTCGATTGGAGCGAGGGAGTGAGACGGGGAGGGAGAGAGCGCGCGAGGGAGTGGGAGAGTGAGGGAGAAAGCGCGCGCGAGGAAGTAGTGAGTACGCACGGCACACGGCACGAGGGCTATAATATGTCTCCACAGGGCACCTGTGTGTGAGTGAGCTTGACCGAGGTTTGATTGTCTGATGCCAGGGCTACTCAGTTCTGTTCCACCGTCGCCTGTTTTGGGGAAAG